TCCAGTTCTCTACACCCCTAAATACAGAAAACTTTAGAAAACCGATGCATGGATCACACTTGAAAAAAAAGATTCTGAAAAGTAAATCTAGTTTTTTTCTATCACAAATTAATTTTAAATAACCAAGCCCCTATTTGCCCCTATTTCATAATAATTTAGCTGCTTATTTATTTATTTTTAAGTCTGTTTTCAACTTGCCTTCGGACATAATGGCAGAGGAACAAGCATGTTTCCTCTAAAATGCACAAAAAATTGCTAGTTAGGCATATTGCGCATATGTTTACCCAGCTATCACAAACCAGCATAATGAGCGTGTGCATAAAAGTGGATGTCCTTTTGATTGTGTACTATTCTTTGCAACACTCATGCCTGTGTTTGAATACTATATATCTAAGTACTTTCTTTCAGATTACTGATGTCCATCAAACTGGTGTCAAAGATCTTAACAGCTTTGCTTTAGAGAAATGCAGAAATCCACGCTCATGCGCTTCTGCATTTATCCAGGAGACACAAGCCTATAAATCATTCTTCATAAATGACAAATTATGTCCTCTCCAGTGCTTGCACACATCTTCTGCGCTCTTCTCCTGCAAGTCATACCCCATTTCCCATCTCTGATCCTTCAAACCTTGTTCTTTATCAGTTGCATTTAAAAGAAGACAAAAGTGAAGTGGCATTTAATCAGACCAAAAGATTTTTTCATGATAAACATCCATTTGGACCCATTGGTCTGTCTTTTAAAGAAGAATATTCACAAGCTAGGGGGTTTTTTTTGGTTTTTTTTTAGCACAGATGGAATATCATGTTCTAGATGCATCAAAATGTACCTGAACTTATGTTTCAAAAGCTTACATTTAGCCAAAACCACATTTATGGGTGAGTTATCTACATGTTACACCATGGTGAGCCCTTTCCGCAGAAGATGAAGTAGAAGTGCGTAAGAAGCTCATATGCTTCTCTGACGAAAAAAAAAAGTAGCAAGACAGAATCCTACTCAATCAGCAACAGCAGCACTGCAATTAAAATATTTTCACAGATATTCTACAAATTTGTTCAAAATTTGCCCTGAGAAATTAGGTTTTCCTCCAAAAAGTCTTAAAGATTTGTGACTTAAACCAGGATTCCTTTATGGCGATTTCCATGTCCTCTGAAGTTGCTTGTGATTATATGCATCAGAAACATACCCTGTCCAATGCATCTAGGTCTAGACATCGACACAGAAACATTTTAGGACTTTGCTTGTACTAAGATTCAAATCGTCAGGTCTCAAAAGTTTTCACCATGTTGAGGTAAGAATCTGCTATGCAAATTAGGGTTTACTAGATTAAAACCCTATTAAGCCAAGAGCGAGCAGGGTATTTGTGTCACCAATGAGATATTTCAAAAACATTTTAATAAAAGTTGATTGATAAAAGTGGATGGAGAAATCTAGATGAATATTTCACATTTTCTCTGACTAATTTTTAGGAGGGTGGTTTTTTACCTCTGAAACTTTTCTGATTAAAAATGTCCAAAATTTTTCTAAAAACCACAAGTCTTAAAAAAATCAGTATTGTAACTCTTCAAAATATAAAGCTAGTTCTTGGCAAACAAAAATTAGTACTAATATTTTTATTAAAATATGTGGAAATGTATTTTAATGGAAAAAATAGAAGTCATTGACTGTTCTTTGCAAACTGTCCCCCCTGTTTTCAGTAATTTCAAACAGCATTCAAAAATCAGACCACTTGTAGATGTAACTAAATATATTGAAATTGTATGTTCAAAATGTCTCTGAACATGTAATATAATCATTTATGCATTTCACATTCCCTTCTCCCAAATGCATACTTTTGTCACACTTTAGTAACATACAATATTTTGAGACAACAAATGTGAGATTATATATAATCAGTTCTAAGGTGTCATTACATACATTAAGGCATTTCTATTTTTAAGGAATTTTCGCTCCGTAAGAAACCGTTTCCCTTTCTAAGAAATACCAGACAAGATGTTGCCGCAATGTGCCAATCGTGGCATAACCCTGTTAGGAACAATGCAAACAGAATGACAGAATTTAACCAGAATGACTGATTTGCCTTCTGTGTACTGTTAGAGAGGCTCCTTAGAATGAGTTTTCGGACACCGGTCTAAAATCCGTTTGCAGTGTAAGTGGGCCCCTTAATGTGTATTGTAACGTCGTTCCTTTACTCCAAGACCTTCAAGAGGACACTTCCTAATTTTCCTGAAAAAACATCTCCTAAAAATGTGTCCCAGAGACTGAGCTGGTTTGTGGAGAGCAGCTGAAGCTAGAGATACTGGTAGGTTATCTGTGATGGACCCAATGGTCACACTGGGCAGCTTTAAAGTTGACAGCTTTACTAAAAAATATATGGCAAGTCATTCTTGTAATAAGGAGTGCTATGGATTACTGTTAGGAAAAGCATGTGCACAGGTATATTCATGGCATGCGTAAATATTCAGCATCACCGTATGGATATCAGAATGCGATCAGCTATACTTTCCAGTTCTGTGGCTGCATAAGAATTGGTCTTAGGTTTTTACTGCAAAACGCTTTAATGTTTATTAGCTTCCTCTGAAAATTTTCCAATGTTTACTTAAAATTTCCAGTCATTCTTGAAAACTCCTTTTTGGTAATATACACAAAGGGGAGATAATCATGGTTGTCAAAGTAATATATAATGATTACTCCAGGAAACATTTTCCAGCATCCACCTACCTCTAGTCAAAATGAATACAAGCCAGATCCCAATATTTTGACCCAAAAGGTAAAAATGATTTATAAACAATTATATAGAAAAGCTCACTCTTATTCTCTGTTTACCATAAACGTATATGCAAGTTGGTGTTGTTTTTTTTCCAAATAGATTCCTGTGCTGTGATCCAGCCAGCCCTGCAATGCATGGGTGCCCTTCCACTGACTTCAACTACAGCTAGATCATGCCAGTTTTAAAAGACAAATCTTTTACATGGTTGTTTTATGAGATGTTTTTTACAATGCTGACTTCGTATGCAGATAAATCTTCCTTAAGTGTAAATTTGATGATGCAGTACACAAAATTCTCCGTAGCAGAAATTTTCCATTCTCTTTTATCTTCATTAGTGTACATCCCTATTACAAGGGAATAATGGTTTACAGTCTAGTCACAGTGTTTACTTTAGCTTAATCTTAAATAGTTGACCTCATTAAATCAATTTCAACTCTTGCCCTTAGCTCTTACTTCAAATTCAAATGCTAGGTTAGAAATGAGCAAAAACTTGAAAGAAATCTATTTAAAACCAGAAAACAAGTAAGACAGACCAGAAATAACCGCTACCTCCAGCAGCGCAGATATGCTTGTTTAGTAAACTACATAATGCTGCAAATTGAAAAATAGAGCGTGACAGCTTTTGTTAACTCATACTAATTATATGCTATCATACCTAACACCTAAGTCAGGTTTTAGGCATCTGAAGGCTGCTGATTGACAGGTATTACTTGGAACTCTAAAAAACTTTTCAAAGAAAGTTGCATAGTTAGCAGGCTGCAGAATATGCTCTTAGTCACTATCAGTCATGCTCTCCAGTCCCAGCAGGAAAATATAGTTCATTATTAGTTATTTGAAGTGTGGTGGCTTAGAAAAGGCCTACAATAAAGACTGTTATGCCAGATAATGCCCAAACAAGAAGAAACATCCAGGGTTTAGGCCCCTAGGCTCTTACAGGGTCCCACATGAAAGTTAACGTTAATAGTCCCACACTAAGGGTAGGGACGGGCTTTCAAGCTGAAATTCTCTTTCCGGCTATATATGAAGTGGAGGAGAAAGAAACACACTCAGAAGGTACTTGTGCATGATACTCACGCCTTCAGTGATCAGCCAGAGCCCATCTAGCATTTGTGATAATCTTTATCTACTCAGAGAGAGAATTGAGGTGGATATATTTATAGAGGCTCTTCTGTTTGTGATTTGTAATTTATAGGCTCAGCACCCAAAGCATTCAACAGCCACTCATAATTACATTACACATAAAACCCACCTACATTAAAGGGACATTATCTAGGCTGTGAGGTCAAGTGCTAAATTCTTAGGCAATACCAGATTGAAGGTTGCCTCTGCAACATTAATTCAGTCTCCTTATACATATGTATTATAGTACGGTTTCTAATTGCACGATGACACAGTAATTTTTTACTATCCTACCATTTGCTTCATCAGTGCATGGAGTGGGCAGTGCTCACTTAATGAGCCAGTATTAAATATTTTGCTTTTTTCTCCTTGAAGGCATGGCCCCAAGCCATTTAAACCCTGTTCAGAAGATAGAAATCTTAATTTCCTCATGGGCTTTTCGTCAGTGCTTCACTAAAGTATACGAATACTTTACAAATATTAATGAATTTGTATCTTCAGGAAATCCCTACTGAAAGAAAATGATGATTCTCCCTGATTCACAACTGAGAAACTAAGACCTAAAGTGACCAAGAGCAAAAAGTAGCTGCTAAGTTTGAGTGCGCAAATCAAGACAAGAAATTGACTTTTGGAATAGCTGCTGTAGGCATTATGTCATGTGTCCCAAGCACAGCTTCCACGGATTCCTGCAAACTAAGCAAATACTTAATACTTCCATTACTCAGGCATCACAGCCTCGAAAACAGTATTCAGAAAAAGAGAGACTGCAGCTATTGAGAAGCTGTGAAAAGAGTGGTTTAAGTGGCAAAAGTAGGAACTTCAAACAAGCAAGCTGTGGCAGGAACAGAGCTATAACCTGTGTCTTTGGGGCACACAACACAGCAATCTTTTCTCTTCTCGGCATCATTCGGTGCAGCCCTTAAACTCTGCACCACGGGAGGCAGGGACCTTACAGCAAACTGCCTCTTCTCCTAACCACCTGCTACAGATCCTGTTTTCCACTGAGTGATTTTCTTTCTCTCTTCTCTTTTTTTTTTTTTTTTTTTTCCTCCCTCTTCCTCACCCTTTCCATTTCTGCTGGTATTCTCCTCTTCATTCATTCGTTCTTATCAGCTCGTCGGGCAACTCTTCTCACCGTGCCCACTCTGATGACAGCGTCTTCTGAGGATGATATAGACCGGAGACCCATCAGAAGACTCCGGTCTAAGAGTGACACCCCTTACTTGGAAGAAGCTAGGATCTGCTTCAACCTTGACAATGGTAAGACCACCCCTCCCTGGCAGCATATCGTGTTAATTAAAGACTTTTTTCGAGATGCAGACGGACCAGATGGCACCTCCTTGTTCACAAGTGGTGTGGTGGTTCACCAGACATCCAAGGATGTCACAGCTGTCTAAATAGAAGCACCTGCAGATGTATGAACAGGGATCGTTTTCAAAATTCTCCTGCAAGTACTAACTAAAGATTTTCCCGTTTTAGCTAGGGCGAGCCAGTGAGATCACAGCAAAAGAGAATGGCTTTGCAAACAAGATGTATTTATATCTTATCTACTCCAGGCATCCAGAAACATGAAAGTTCTTCTGAACATTTATGAAGCGATTAGAGCTAACAGCAGACTCCAGCTAAAACCAACATTACAACCATGGAAGAACATCCAGCACACCCAAAACCCTCTATAGGTTTAATTGGCTAAAGTGTAACAGAAAACTCTCGATTCTGCAGGAATGAGTAAGACACCTGTACCCCAAAGTTCACACCAACTAATGTTACTACCACTGCCTTCAGTGTTACTGAGCCCTGTCGTTCCCTGGTCCTTTTTCTCATTAAGGTTGACCCAAACAAAAGATTTTGGAAGTAATGACAAGTTAGTGACTTTAAGCAGGCTGAGTTTTCTGTAAAAAATCTGAATTAAATGGGATGAACTAGTACACTCCCTGGCACATATTTTAATTGTTTAACTCTCACTTTGTGTAGTACTTTTGTGCCACCCAGATATTTATTTTTTATAAATAGCATTTTTAATTATTTGTATTACACTAACATCTAAAGGTCCCAACCAGAATTGGAGCCCTAACGCGGCAGGCAGCCTACGACCACAGGGTAAGAAATAACATCTACATAAAGAGCTGACCGCTAAATAGAGAAGACAGCATAGGGGAGAAGCAGCAAAACATCGTCCCCCATTTGGAGCTGGCGAACGGAGTCACCGATTTTTGCCTATGGTCACTTTTTTTTTTTTTTTTTTTTTTCAAAAACCTGCCAAAGTGACTTATGAATACGAGTCCCAAGCTTTAAGTGACGGTCAGTTTTAAACATTGAGTGTAGGCTCCTCAGTGCCCTTGGCATTTTAAAGCGCTTGGCCTGGTGCACCATCCTGCTTCACTTAATGGGTCTGCCCAAGGAAAGAGGAGAAGGAGGTGAAGGGATGAGCCCTCAGACTTCCCACTGAGCCTCGATCCAGCCGTGCTTTGAGTTTTGGGACCCCTAAGCTATACAGGAGAGCACTTCGGGGTGCCCAAGGCCGTGGCCGAAGGTGCCAGGCCTGCTGTGCCACCTCAGCCAGGCCGGCGGGGGACGGACTTGGAGAGGGGCGGGAGTCACCTCAGCCGGGACCCTGCCCTGGGGGCGGGAAACCACCTCAGCCAGGCCCCTGGCCCGGGCCTCCCCTGGGCAGGGCCGGAGGGGGGGGGGACACGGAGTGGTGTCCTCCCCCCCCGGAGCGAAGGTCGCCGCCCTGAGG